AGTGGCACAGGAAAGCCAGGAGTATAGAAAGGGTGTCGAACCAAGCTGTACAAATAGTCGAGAGAATCTATTTCCCATTTTCATCGCGGATGCACAGATGATCCATAATTACATTTGCTTGACGAGCGTGGTCGGTATAATTTACAAAAATGTTAAAACATTGATATACAGCAAAGTTTAATCAGTGTCGAATCCAGTATACACTAAGACAACAAAGTGACTGTGATAAATCTATTGTTGATTCAACTCGTGTGTTACTTGGACCGGGCTTTCACTATTTTATAAAGCTCTTTCCCAAAATTTCCTACGCCAAAATTAAAGAAAGTATTTTTGACGGACGAGATATTAGAAGACTGATGACGGGCGACAACTTCACCAAATGTTTGTCGGCCACGGAAACAGCAGCATGGGAGTCATTCAAGAATGTTGTTTGTAACTTCCTTGGTAATAGAAAGAGTGACGACTACAAGCTGATTGTTTCAAATTTTTGAAGAAGTATTGTGAAATATTACAAGCGTTTTTGGGACAAAGGAATGCTGAGCAATTATTGTTGGTTATTTTATACACGAGACGGTTCTAAAAAATACAAACGACGCAGTTCCACAGCACTTCATTTCTGATTTTTTACTTTTTTCCAAATATGTAACGATTTTTAGTTGGAAATGGTAAAACATGGTTTGCTCATTTATCTAAGAAACCTGGCCTGATAGCGAAGAACAGACTGCGGATTCGTAATTAGCGCCAAAAGTCACCTTAAAAACTGCTTTCAGCTCCTCTGGTCGAAAACCGTGTAAACCTATGTAATCAGTACATCAATCGCATTTATGTTTTCAAAACACAGAAGGGTGTCGATTAGTCGATAGATACTGCCAATGTATATTTTCTTAGTCGATCGGTCAGAAACAAAATAATAAAAAGTTAATAATAAAGTAAAGTATTGTAAATTAGGTAGCCAGTGCCACATCGCCACATGTTCCACATTGCTACGTGAGCCTGTTTAGAAGCAGCTCACTTAAGTGTCCATCCCTTTGAGCAGTGGCGGTTGGTGTCCCAACAAACTGGAGGTTGCAGCTCCATGGATACCAACGACGGAAATGTAATTTCCAAATTTCAGAACATTAATATATAATAATATGAAATCAATTCATGCCAATTAATAAAAAGCCTATATTGTGTAACGACACGTCAACTCTAAGAACGAAGACGTGTTGATTTCGCGACGCTCCAACGCTGGCAAATTGAACCGTTAGGGGCATCGGGGTCCTCGGCACAGCGCAAGGGTGCCGACCGCGGCGACGTGTATTTTTGTTCAAGTGTGAGCGAATTTATGACCGCGAAAAGGAGAGAGTAACTTGACCCGATGCAAAACCGACTGTCCTCACGGGAAACACAGGAGAAGGTCCTGCGCACTAGCCCTCGGAAAGGTCACCCAATGTTGGTTCATGGGTCGCCAAATTAATTCAAATTTGGCGCCACGCATCGAATAGCTCAGTTTCGCTGCTCGTTGAAGGTATTTTAGAAGAAAAGATCACACGTTTCAAACTTTCCGCCGTGGAGATAGTAACATCCGAGATCAGCTCCCTCGTTTTTTATGGCAATCAACCCGCCCATCCGTCAGGTGTCGCACCGGTCAAAACGTTTCTTTCACCCAAAAAGAAAGATCTCAAAAGATACCACGATGCAGCTACCTACCACTGACGAATGGCGGGAGGGGGGGGGGTCGTCCAGCACCGCGCACCTGCATGCAGTAAAACCGCTCCCTTAAAAAATTGGGATGCAAAGGTCACTGCGCACTCCGCGAGTAATTGAAAACAATCCGGAAGAGAGTGCTTCTATATCGCACTCCTTTGATCGCAAGAAAGGGAGGGCGCACCCTTCAGTGTTGCCGCCAAAACTCCAACGGCACTTTTTCAAGTAAAATGTTTAGCTCGCCATTTATTCGAAATCACCCCCGCCAATGCTCTGCCAATGCTCGATGCTGAGCAATCAGAGACTGTGGTGGTCGCAGATGTTGGGAGTTCTGAGCATTTGTTATTCGAAGGACGGGGCCGCTAAGACAGATGAGATGATACAAATCGAGTTTGACACTCACTAGGAGAGCGCCTCGAATGCACAGATTAATGACCAATGTGGTTCGAGTTTGGACATTTACGTGAAGGCTCAGATACAGTTCACTTGAACTTCGGAAATGATCTCAGCATCGAGTGAGCCTCGAGGAAGGTGCGCTTGTGAGAGCCTTAGCCACCCTTGTAACTGTAGGCTTTGATCGCCGCATTCCCCTTGCCGGTAATGTGTCCGGGACACCAGCGAGGACGGGTCATCGCCACGGCGCAAGAAGGTGCGTGGGTGCGTGCGTAGCCGCGGGGGCTCGACCGTTCGCGGGGGGACTGAATTGCCGTCTGGCAACGCCGGGGTGCGACGCGCGCTGCCCGCCGCCCTCGCTCGTCACAACTACCTGCCACGTGGAGTGCGGCCGCCCAGGGGGTTCAGGGCCGTGCCGCGATTGAACAAAGCAGTAAGGACGTGGTCGGTGTTATTAGTTCGGCTCACCGCCCGCCCTTTTGCCCGCTATGAAGGCGGGCGAGACTGCCAATGAAAATGTGTAGTTTCAAAGAGGCGGCAAATCATTTTTTTGTGTTTTTTACCTATTTACAGCCAAAGAAAATTATGTAAATTCTATGTAACTTATCATTCATGTGCATGCTCATATTCATCCTCATAATCACCTTAATTGTTCATTAAATGTGTTATAAGAGTATTTCTGTGTCATTTTGCTTTGAAATCCCGCATCAAAAACACCCCAGCAGATTACAATTGTAATCAATCAAGTGAAAGTCTTTACTGAAACATTACTTACATAATTTTACTACTTACATAATGCATAGTATCGTGTAACGTATTATTTATGTATTAAGGCAATTGATGGTAATAGAAAATTTTTCAAAACAACACAGAACTTGGTTTCAAAAATATTACAATCGCACTCCAGCACATTGCAATAAGCACTATTGTTTGGACGCGTGTTACACAAATAAAAATATTTTATTTCGAAAAATGTTATTACCTTGTTATATTTTGTAATAATGAAAGATGTTCCACACACCCTCGTTAGGGTGTGATCGCTCGCAGACTGTAACTCAACTGTAACTGCAGCCGGAAATACATATCCACCATTAAAAACAGAAAAGGACTTCTTTCCAAAACTGTCAACTTTAGACAAAGTACTCATAATCAAAGGTGCATATCGAATCACAAAACCTAACATCGAATTTAAAAAAATTCTCCAAACATAAAAAATAATGCATTCAAGAACGTCGAAGATTGACTTAACTTGTGTACTTTCAATAACACGCGAAATTCATAAAATTAAGTTGCTGATAGTTAGACGAAGACAGAAAATTGGTATTTCCCTTTGCCGGACGCCGGACAGCGCTCGACGACAAGGCCCCCCAACCACTAGTTGCGCAACGGAAGGCCCTATGTTGAAGCAGCATAGTAAGTGATAAGTAATAGTAAACGCAGTAATGTCATAGATGATAATAGAACTAGGAGCGTGACATCGTGTAATACTTGGGAGAGCACCAGGCACCGGAGAGAGCGCCAGTTGGGTGCTCTTTGGTTTCAAAATTATTTCATTTACATCGATATTGCTGCAATATCTTGAACTCGTTAAATCGAGAAAGTTTATTCCTAACATATTGTAAGATATTTTTCGATTATCTGTGGGTTGGGCAACTAAAGCACGAGCCGCCACTGCCTTTGAGTACTAAAAGACTGACTTCCAATTTATGTACCTTGCTCTCGTTCCACCTGTTTCTCACAGTAGACATCCTTTCCATTCAAAATTCACAAGAAACGAAAGCCATCGTCGTAAAGAAAATATTGGGACAGCCCATCTGTGCATATGTGTCTTACAACATATATCATTGTAGACTACGAAGTCAGTGGCGGATACAGAGAACTGATATGGAGGCCAGCCGAAAGGCATGTTATTAAATTATGTAATTATTTAAAATATATTGTATAGTATCATTAACAAAATTCAAAAATAATATAGTAAATAATAACAAATGTTTTTTATATAACAAAAATCTATGATGGCCCCCTCCAACATGATCGTCTGGATCTGCTTCTGTTCCGATTCCTTCTTATTCTTAGGATTTAGTTTTCGATTTTAAAAGCAGAATCCTTGCCGTCACTTCACAATCCTGTTGTGAAATTTTTACATTTCCAATTCTTGCCTTTTAACTGACACACACACACACACAAAATTACATCACTCTGTTCCTGATATTGGTAATCAAGCGTCAAGGTCGGGGAGCGGAGGAACTCGCCCCCCCCCCTCCCCGCACAATACTTTTTGGCTTTTGTGATACAAGTGAACTCCCTTCAACGGTAATCTAATTTTCATTAATATAACCGTCGTTCTCACAATAATTAATGGTGGTGACGCCTATTCTAAGCACTTGAGACCTCAGCGAACTTCCGGATTTTGGCCACGATCACGGTTTTTCTGTGTCAGAAACGAATCAAAAATAAGTTGTTTTTTTTGGTGTCCTCGACCAAAAAATCTCAAAGATTTAAACCTGATAAGCAACCCGATCCACTATACTGTCTACAATGGACAGGCACAGACCACTGGTTATAATTTTGAACAAAACTGCATAGATTTAATAGGTCGAAGGAATAATATTCACAAGACATCCGATAAGCCTACAATTAGAGTAATCTTTTGGGTGGTGTGTTTTCCTCATGGACAGCGACTTGAAAACCCCATTTACTAGTTTTTTTCAAGTAAAGAAAAATCCTCCCAAATTATATAGGGGAGCTGAAAGGGCTTGGGCCCCAAAGAGATGGTGCCTATGCAACAAATGTTATTCTTTTACATTCCTAAACATATTTCATGCAAAATAAAAATCAACCAATTAATCAAAATTTCATTTGTGAAATGATAAGAAATTTCGAGGAATAGAACACTACAGGAAGTAAAGTTTCAGACATTTGTAAGGGAGTCATTGGTCTCCTTTATTAATTTTTTTTCTTACATAAGTGCAAATTCACAACCTTCAATATTTTAACAAAAATATATACACAATATGTAGATTCAATTTACAAGTTTTAAGTAACACCATCCTTACTGGAATTGTGCATTGCAAGAAATAATACATGTAGACAGAAACATACATGCCTTTGTCTTTTAAGAATACATTTTTAGCAATATTTATATCTTGCAACAGTTCACATTTCATTTGGACTAGCAGTAAACGTGCAACAAAAATGAATGGACTAAAAACTTCTCAATTCCTCTTTCTTATAAATGTTGCATTTTAAGGAATACCTATATCAAAAACATGATTCTTTCATTTTAAAGCATTACAAACATGTAAACAAAAGCTGAAGTATCTGTCATTGTATACATAGAAAATAGTATGTATCTACATTATGTATGCTAATTTTAACTCACATTTGATTTCTACATTTCTGTTATGTCAGATAGACTCAATATAACACTTCAGCATAATAGCAATTCTGTCAACACGTATCATGGGTAATCCACACTATTGTTTGTTATATCACATTCTTTATCAATCTTGATGTACAATTTATTGTACACTGTATATCAAAATCCTGGACTCAATGCCCAGAACAAAGTTTTATAATTTTTGCAAAAAGAAAAAAGCGAAATACTGCACATAAGTAATTATCTGAAAAATTATTATGAACATCTTGAAAAAAGATTTTCAAAAAGTAAGAAAATATTAAAAAAATTACAATACTTTTACAATAAATTACAAATACTTTTGGTACTAGATAATTATATGAAAGTATTTCAATTGTTTTTACATAGAAAATCTAAACAATTTTAGCAATTAAAAACCATTTATAATGCTATAAATGTTTTGAAAACTAAAAGTGAAATCAAATATATAATATAAATAAAGACAACAAGAAATTAAGGAGGAGACCAAAAGTGGTGAACAAAAGTGTATACTAGGTCAGAAGCAGTGAACTAATGTGTTGAAAAATAAGTGAAGTTTTGACTCCACCCCTGTGTTTATCTTTTACATACTGATAAAACCCACGCACAAGAAATACTTCTTCATAATCTTCGTGTGACTGAGATCTGATGTGCACTATTTACACATTATGAAACTAGCCATAGCTGCACAAATTCATACATATTCCTTTCAGTGTTATGAAACTTTTGATGACGTAAACTGTTTATCACCTTCAGGACTAGTGTCAGTAAAATCTATTAAAGAGTCATCATACTTTGTAGGGCTTGTTTTGTGACTTTCAGTAGTATTACAACTACCACTTTGCCCAACATCATCAACTCCCTGGTAACTTCCTGCTTCAGTTGCTACATCACTAGTAGGTGACATGCTATCATAGTACCCAGTCTGCAGGTCACCTAATCTCGCAGGAGCACTCTTTATATTATCAGCACCAACCTCTGGAACTAAGAGCCGAGAACTCTCTGTTGCACTACCCGCAGCATATCGATACATCCCTCGACCTCTTATGTGCCTGCTTAACGAACTCCCTGAAATAAAATTTTAACTCATTAAGTGTTTCAGCAGGAACAACCATGAAGCCCTAGAAAAAGAGATGAAATCATCCATAAATCTGACATAATTTTCACCATAATGAAATTCTGCTTTTTATTTGTGTTGAAAATTGTTTTCATGGAGAAAAAAAAAAAGAAAGAACTGGTCTGCACAAAGGATGTAACAGAAGACCATAACTAGCAAGACAACATTGTATCAATATTTTCTTCTTCTTCTTAGTTTTTTTAGGCTGTAATCTGACTTTTTAAACAAAGGAAATATATTTCAAAACAACTGACGTTTCATGTACCCACTTTCTTGAGTCCACATTCTACTTTGATCCGACAACCATAAATTTATTTTAGCACCATAATCTTTTTTCCACTGCTCAATATTTACAGGGAAAGAAATTCACAGAACTAAATACCACATTATGAATTTCTAAATAGAAATTAATACTGTGGAACTAGATTTTCACAAACAGTACATAATTGAAACAGTGCAATATAAATAGTACAATGGTTAAGATCCAAAAGAAAAATGTTAGATGTAAGGTATATCTTTAATTTATTATCACTACCATTACTGAAAGGACACCCAAAACCCAATGGTACCCAGATCAGGGGTGGATCCAGAAAGTATTTGAGGGTATGCCCTAATTTCAGTGGCGATCAGTCAAAAATATTTGAAATAATATTTTTTTATTGTTAGCTTGAAATAAAAATTGTTCAAGTAGGTACAACCAAATTAGAAATACAGCTTTGGATGTGATGGAGTTCACACATGGTAATTTTTTTGCATAAATTAAGTAAAAGCATAACAACTGCTGGTTCTGAATTTGTCCTTTGTTTTTGCTCAGTCCTCACCCCCACGACTTCTGTGGAAACCAAGAACTAAAGATATTCAAATTCCTTCCACGTGTGATTAACACAATTACAACAAACAGCACACTAATATAATCGCAACATCAGATATGTATCTATCAGCATACTGTGGATTTTTTAAGGGGGAGGGGTTATAAGAAACTTCAAGATCCCTTTTGGCAGTGAACAACACAATTTTCTCTTAGAACCATAGTGGGCCATGTACATACCTGTATTCTTCAACAATTTTTTCTTTATTACATTGAGTCATACTTTCAAGATATTTACTATCAAAAATGGTTTTTAAGTTACTATCTTGTTTACAGGTTGAAAACTTGGGTGTATAAACTAGTTCCAAATGATAATTGAAAGAAATCAAAGACATTACTCATTCAATAAGCTGCAGCCAGAAAAAATAAGTGCAATTAGCTGGAAAAGTATTTTTCATGAAACAAAATTTAAAAAATAGGTTTTTCAGTGTTCCACATTCTACCAAATTTTATAAACAAAGTCATCACCAGACCTTCTCGAATAAACTGAGAAAAGGATTGTCTTTTAAGTAATTGCAAAAAATATTGCATTTGATATTCATCATGGGAAGAAAAAATCAAAACCATTTTTCCAAACCTTGATTTGAATTTTATAAAGGCACATCAACTCCTAAGGGCATTTCTATTTATTTATGTGTATTAACATTGCATTCTTAGGCTTTTTTTTTCTGTCTTTGACAGCATATAACAACGAAAGCCAAAAGACTAAAATTAAAACAAATTTACAAACAGAAGAGACATTGAATCTAGGAATGTAATAAAACATTTCATATACAGTCAAAGGGTGACCATTATATAATGTAATATAATGTACTATAATAAATTTTCAACAAATATTTTCATAACTTGAAATACTTGCCTACAACTTCAAGATGCTCTCTGATATCTCTATGAACATCGGAAACATCCCACATTGCAAGAAATGCAGAACAACATGAAAGTTGTTCTGATTCTGGATTTACATAGGGTTTATAAGAGAAACTAAAATGATGTGCTACTGCAGCAAGAAACATTTCAATGCAGATCAAAAAGTCCTGCAAAAATTGAAATTAAAATTGTGTACACACTTTTTAGAACAAATGTAACGTACAAATTCTTTACTGTCACATTTTACCTGTAATTTGGAAGATATATCCTTTAGATTATCAGTATCATTAATATCAAACACTGATGAAATAACATTTGTCCACACCAAAATAGCAATTACTACACCCTGGCTATAAACACACATGAAGTAAAACAATTAACAAGGCAGAATAATAATTAAAACATCATTCGCATTAAAAGCTAATACAATATCACAAACATTAAGTACTTACAAGAATGAGAAGAAAACTACAGCTTTTATACAAAGAAATTTGCCAATAGGCTTCATGGGTTGCAGTTCTACCTTATTTGCCCGATAAAATAGCACCAGACAATACATTGCAATGAACTGAGAAAAGTTATTAATTGCTATCATGTATGGAAATGCAGCATCACCACGGAACTCCCCCTCTTTGTACACACCACTCATCTCACAAATGCTATCAACAGACAAGGGAAAAATAAGTTAATACTAAGTTCTGACATCATAATCACAAACAATTCGAGATACTTACAATGAAATGAATGTAGAAAGTGGACGCACAACTGTATACTGCAGAATTCCATGCTTACACATGTGAACAAATTCTCTGAAAACAAGAACATGAAATGTCCTTCGTTTACACTCTTGTTTTTGAAAACACAGGAGAAGAAATTCATGAACACAATTTACCTGCCCATCTCCCAAGGAACTAAGCAACACAACGGAAATATATGTTTTACTTGAGGTTTCAATTCTAGATTGGCTTCTAAATCCATTTCTGAATTCAAGTAGTTCAGGAGGTAAACAAGGAAGTTGTAAATTACATAGGCTTCATAACATTCACGGAGGCTGTCAACATATATCGATTGTTTTGGATAGAGAAGCCCAAACCACTGTCAATTAAAAATACAGGTATAAAAGTTATGTAAGACACTTGCGAAAGCTTTCCTTATTCTTTATAAGGGAGAAATATTAATGGTCAAACTATGCATCAACAAAAAACTTACAGCATTAACAGCATATATGGGTACCATCCACAATATTCTGAAAAACACGAAACGCATAGAGAATAAGATGCCATCAAATATATAAAAGATACATTACATTTAATGGAAATGACAAACTACCTTATAATATGTTTTTGAAGGTAAGGTTTTGTGTAATGTATCATATGTTGAATTATTTCCCATAACGATATGGGAAGAGCCATCATAACAAAAATACTGCCAAATAAAACCCCTTGATCTTGTTTTTTGAATCCATTTTTGACAGCTTTCGCCACAAGAAATGGTAAGAGAACTATTATTATTAAACCATACACCACCATTACAACAGGTCGAATCCAAAGCCTCCATTGCTTGAGTATGTCTAAAAATGACATTTTTGACAAAAAAATGCACGAACTTTCGGATAAAACGTTCACATAAAATCTTCAAAATAATCACCACCTGTCATTTTCGAAACAACAGCTGCGAACGTGAGCGCCATTTTGAGAGAACACAGCGCCTCACAGTACCAGCCGGTGTAAACGATGAGTCACTGCCGGCATCTCCTGGAGATAGCAGTGTGACTCAGACTGTAATAGATAGCGTTTGAAGTCCCGGCCTTCACTGGAAGAGAGCTGAGAGAGTTGTCGTTTTGATGATGGGTTCTGAAAGCGGGCTGTTCAAAGTGCAAAGAAAGAATTCAATAGACAAGAATTAGAAATTAATATTTTCAAATAACGAATGACATTTTTTCTTTTCAAACTGAAGTTGATGAGTTTGAAGTTTATATTCCCGTATACATGTTACTTCTTGGTTTCGGTTGCCATAAAAATAACAATGGAATTCAGGATATCCAAAATATATTACAGAGCAAATTGTTTATTTTTACAACGAAATAGTTTATAAAATAAACAACTAAAAAGATAAATCGCATTGCCCACTTTCAAGAATATCAAGAAGACCACTCTTTTTCTAGAAAGAATTTCCCTGACCTCTTCAGATTATCCAGGTGGTTTCCTTACTTTTCCATGACAAACAATTGTGAAGTATTTCACGGTATTCAAATAAAATATTTAAATAAAGCATGTCTGTGATCAATATTCAAACACTGTTGCTGACTGAGTCATTTTTCCCTTTGCATTCCCGATACTCTTGCTTTAACAGATTGTGAGAGAAACAGATGCACTTCGATTCAAAACGTTCATTTCCTTTCTTTATCTATTTTTCAGCTCTCAGATTGTACCATAAAATAAACAAAAAATAACGATATTTGCTTAACAAAGGAATTAACAGCTTTGGTTCTCTGATAAGCCGCATAATTCTTCGATGTAGTTTGCAAGTATTCCCAAAACGGTATTTCTTGTATTCTAGCGTTATAAAAGAACCTTTTCTGTTGCAAGAAATCGTCCATAACCCGACATTTTACAGAACAAATGATTACGTATTAGATTTTATGTCACAAATGATTGCGTCATCACACATTCAGCCAATCGTAGCGAGAGAATCGGGGGAGGTAGCGCTAAACGGAACAGCTGACCACCGTTTACTCCCACGATGTCAAATACCCAAGTATTTTTACTCAGTATTACACTATTTACTCAGTAAATAGTGACACATGGTTGGAGGAGAAAATGGACAGCAACCGCACAAAAACTAGTGATACTACAAGTCAAATAATTACAAATTGCACAATTAGTGCAAATCTTTGTTAACGATATTTGAACTTAAAAATAGGCCTCGTTCAATGCAATCAATGTAAACAGCGCAGATAAAGGAAATGACAGTATTTCGTCCCATCAGACAGTCCAGTTATTGAATCCCGTCGCGATATGAAATAGGAATGGTGGTCAAGAAGGATATGTTTCAGAAAAAAAAAATTAAAAAATAAAATAAATCAAACAATAGAGTTAATTAAACAAAATAATGACTAGGTATTTAGCTTAGAGGGATTTTAGGACAATAAATTGAGGCATGGAAGGAAAAAAAAAAGAAAAATAGCAGTCTTGCACACAATCGTCGAATTTCGTATGTACTAGCAAAATATGGCGTCGCCGTCGCTGCAAACTGTTTTAAAAATAGTTTCATGTGTTGAAAATTTCTTTCATACTTCATTTCTTTCATAGCCAGTTTGTTTAAATATATTATTTCAGTATCTGGCATTGGACTTACCAATGAATCGTAGTAGTTGATAATGTTATACTCCCGTTCAAATGTCCCCAACACCCAATGGATTTGTGTTACCTCCATACGGGATATGAACTGGTCTTATTGCAAATTTCAAAATTATAATCGCCATAAGAAATACTTGCAGGTTTTGATGCTAATAGTTCCTTTTTAGTACAGCTACATTTTTACGCCTTTTTAGGTAATATGCACAAAAATTGCACATAGCACATCTACATTAGCACAAATGCTAAATGCAAAAATGCAGATTATTCCCAATTAGTTCCGAAAATTCTATCACAACAATCTTTTACAACTACATTTGATTCTTCTCCGGATTTCCTTAAAACTTCCATATTTTTCTCTCTTAATTTTTGAAGAGATTAAACTCAGTCTAATTTGTGTTCACTTCTACTTCTGCATTTTCTCTATTAATCGATAATCTAGCGTTGCATGCGAATCTAACATTGAAAGGTGAGTGTTTTGTATGTTTATGTGAATAAGGTGTTAGTTAATTTGAATAAGAACAAGTCGTGGGTCACATTCATTAGAAAATCGATATTTGCACACTGATGTAAGAACGTAAAAGTGCGATGTGGAACATCACGTTCATTCATTCTCTTGCTTTACTCATAGTTTTCTTTTCTCCATATTGACTTGAAATTCTCAAGTTCAATCTCAAGTTCAATAAGTTCCGAGGCAATGCTATTTGTAGGTATTCGCAAATTTATTTTTAAAAATACGATAATAATTCGACCTTAAATTGAAATCAAACTGCAGCGCGATTTACGTGGTAATTGAATTGTTCACTTAAAGATGTCAACATCAGTGTTGCTAACGTCGTGAAAGAAAATTGTGGCGTATTAAGAAAAAATTGCCTTTGGGTTCTGGGTTTTAATCAACGAGACCTACATATATCGATATAGGAGGCGTTGGTTTAATTCCTAGCTTTATCACTAAAATCACAGCGCCAAAACACGAAAAAACACGTTTTTGGAAATATTTAAATCTTCTTGCGGGATCCGAAAACAAATAATGAGTTCCCCATCAGGAGACCGAGATGCGTCGAATGACTACTTATAGTTTCGATTAGGGCACGGGGAGTGGCCTAGACGCCAGTGACGAAATGGTAAAAACACACATCTGCACGTCCGCACACTCAAGAGTTTTACTGAAATACTGATAGTTATAAGAACGTTCAATTATTAAGTAATTAAGTAATTAATAAATATTACGTATAATTTCGTAAATATAATTTGATCCAGCAGCTGAGGCAACAGAAAGCGTGTTTGTATAAAGTATATACAAAATGTATGGTCTTTTGGGAATGGAAAGGGAGTATCAAAAAGGGTTGAGACGTGATTGAGTTCGCATGGTGAAGCTGAGCGGGTAAAAGTTTCTATGGTACGTGTACGTTCGGAGTACTGTAAGTAGTAATACCTAGAATGTTTTGTAGTCCTGCGAAAAATCGATATCGAGATTTAAACAGATACACACGTTTTGGGGTCCCCTGATACAAAAAAAAAAAAAAAAAAAAAGATTTTCAACAAACTTCATCCGTTCATTCGCCGGTCGGTGAACACTAGCTCCAACCTGTTGGTAAGGTTTTTGCCAAAATAAATACTGACCAATCAGTTTGACGTTACTCAAAGTCCTGCGATTTTGAAAGATTTTTAAATTTTGCGATACTTTACATGACACCCTCGGGCACTTCCTAAAATTTCCAAAAAATGGCTCAATTTTTCCTTTAAAATTCAAGTAAGAGTAGAGTGAAACACATTATAAAGATGGCATAAAACCAAATTTCGCTTCTAACTCTAAATTTTCGAAAATTGCAAAAGTTTGACATTTTTTGGATACAGCTACATTATTGACGAGGGATTTTTTTTTCAAACGAGATTTTTCTCCATAATTAGTCTCTAATTAATGTCATGTAATTTTTTTGAAACTTGTAGTAGTTTTCGCGCAATTTTTTAGTGAAATAGGGGAAATTTTAAAAACAAGATGTCAAAAAACCTCTATTTTTCTTTAAACTGTTTGTACATGTAGTGCTAAATATAATAAATAATATTAAATTAACACCATTTCATTATTCTTTTGCTTTCTCAAAATTATACAAATGTAGTTTTTTAAACATTTCTCACGTCGTTAGTACTAGCGCCTCAAATGATTTCTATGAGGTTTTTTGAATTCTCAAATATTTTTCTGTGGCAATGAACTCAAAAATAGCGTATTATCAAAAATGCTCAAACGACATTTTCTCAAAAACTGCTCAACATTTTAAAGTGAAAAATTGCATATAGAACCAAGGGTTACTCTTCCACAATATTCTTGAAGTCATATTTTAATTCTGCTAGCGAAGGATCGAAAAATTGAAAAAATGTGAAAAATACCTTTTAGGTAACGATAGGTAAGGAGCTGGGAAGAGAGTGGGGCATATCTGAAAAGCTAGCCCAGACTAAAGAGATTAGAAAATGCACTAGTAGGAGAAAGTTGGTGCTATTCTTTAGTTAATTTTTTTTCTACATACGAAGACCCTATATACAGAGTAATGTACGTAGTGTAAGCAAAAGGTATTTAATGCTGCGGAATCGCTTTCGATTTTATGAAAATACATGTTTGGGGTCTGGAATTGAGATACCGAAAAACTTTTTTTCAAAACCTTTAAACAACACCAGCGTTTAAGACATTCACGAGCTTATTTTTCTAAAATGAATATTTCTCAATCGATATAGTCAGAGTTGTGGCACTACGAATAAAAAACGAATCTTACTCGTAACTTTTAGGGATACTGCGCATGAAATCACTGGGTCTTTTTCAAAACTTTCTCAACAATGGCTCCATTTTTTGTTGCTAAAATAGAGCGAAATACATCTGTAAAGGTGACACAGGCCCTATTTTTACTTTATCATCTGAAATTTCGTATATTGCTAGATTCAAATATTGTATATTAGACAACGCTTTGTAACAACTGCTGTGTTAATTTTTTTCTTGAAATTAAATTGGTCTCTACTGTTAGATATTTAAGTAATGTTATTTATATTTAAGAAAATGTTGGTAATTTTCGCTTAATTTTGAGGGAAATAAGGTCAATTTTAGAGACTCGATTTTTGTTAAAAGCTGTTTCATTTTTTCTTCAAACTTTTACTACGGATAGAGATAAATGTACTGAATAACTGACATAAATGTCATTTTGAGGTAATTTTATGATTTTTAAAAAAATACCTAAAAGTTATTTTTTTTGAAATTTCTCTCGTATTGTAAATATTTTTATTACAGGCATTTTAAAAATAATTTGTTGCATTTATGAACAGAAGTGGTCTAAATGATTTCTTATGAAGTAATAATAAAACTCAAACAAAACAAATTAAATTAAGTTCAAAATTGTGTATTTTCAGAGACGGTCAAGCCTCATTTTCTCAAAAACTGCTTCAAATTATTCAATGAAAATTAGTGTAGA